AAAGAAAATAATGGATGGCCTCCATTTGGGCTCGTTTTTGCCATTTGTCACAGAAGACGGACGGAACCAATCATACCAATGGAAATGGAAGTCTTGAATGTGCAGTATTCCAGAATAACTATCCGATTTCACAATAATGTTCCTGCGTAGCATACACCACCAACACTTCCCATTTGCTAAACAAAAGGAACCAAAACACGCAGTGGGCGTCAAGGAGTTTGCAGCAGGATTGGCTTAATTCCCACAACAAAGACTCCTATCGTAAAAACGGGGCTATTTGTCCTTCAGTACCAATTTCTCCACTTTTAAAAATCTAACGATAGCGCCTTTGTCAAAGTCAGGACAATTTGGCCAGATCTTAAGTGTCTGAAGTGGTCCAATAAGTTGCGCATATTAACGAGGCGCTGATGTTTTGTAAAGCTCTGTAGAATTTTACTGAGCGCAAAGAAAGCGCGATGGCTCTGTTCTAGCTCATGTATTGAGTACGGTGGTGTAGGTAAAAATTTACGTTCTTATAGCTGTTAGTTCTGGAGATGCATTCTCCCATGCGGATTTAAGAGAAGAAGAAGAACGCTTTGGTGAAGAACCCATTTAGCCAGTTATGAAAGCGCTACATCATTGCTTAAGGTTATTAAAGTTGCCTTTCCCTGAAGTATGTTGGTTCTGCTTCCGAGCTCGGGTTTTTCCGGCTTGTGCGTCGATACAAGTCCGTTTTTATAAGAACTAATCCTAAATTTGCTACTTCACTCGTCCAACATTGAGGTTTTCGAAACCGGTCCCACATCGAAGGTCTTTACGCCCCTAAGGTTAGTTTATTGTGCTTCTCCATATACTTCGTCGCTTTCATGGCCATTTAGCATATCAGAAAATCTTTTAAGTTATTAAGTTAAAGGAGACAGTAGCATTCTTTCAACTGCTGTTATTTAAGTCATGGAAAACTTCCAGCAAGTTATACTTAGCAAATAAAATCAGGAAATCGAACCGGGAATGATATGCGTATATTTTATAAACCATTTGTCGTCAAACTTTCCCAAGTAATAAAACCGACATTGCGGACACTTTTATGCAAATAAAACTTTCCGGCCTGTGAAATATTAACTCAGACTTATTTTATTTAGGTTTTCTTAAGCAATTTTACGCCGAAAACTCGGTTGCCCTATAATAGGTCATTAATATGCTACATGTTCCTATGCTACAGGTTCTTTAAAATTCAAAAGAGTACTCGTGTTTTGAATACAAAAAGCAGTTAGTAAGGTATAGAGAATGCTTTGCACAAAGTCAAAAATATTATAAGAACATTATCAATGCGCATCCTTTTAACGAGGTGACCCATCTTTAATATAATGAGTGTATATCTAACGTCTCGATCAGCGGAAACTACATATTGAGAACACTATATTCCATTAAATAGAATGTTCATTAAACAGCGTAAAACTTCCCAAATTACTTTACTTATGAGGTCCAAAATCTTTTCCTTTTAAACAACGCTTGCTTTTAAGGTACCTATCTATAATATCAAGGCACACACCAGTAAGAAAGAGTGCTCATTGCATGCTCAAACGATTTTATACTTCTCCCCGCTCGCAAACTTTCAGTAATCTACCCAGAACCAATTCAGATTAGCAGCGACTGCAGTGACGTGCTGCAATCTATACTCACTCCTCAACAGGTAGATGTGCGTTAGAGAATGCATCTTTGTGCCACTTACACATCTCTCCAGAAATAAATACAGTCAGCACACCGGCAGCGACAGTTTGCTACTCACAACTCAGGCTGAGCTAACCCCAACGACCTGCTGCCAGAATCAGCTATAAAGGTTCTCTTTTCAAGGCCTAAATGTTGCAATTACGGCACCGTTAAGATCAAATATCTGGAGTGCAATTATTTGCTACCAATTCGCGATTATTTTAGTTAAAATATGCTCAGTGCAACTTAGAGATTATCTTGAACTTCTATAAAGTTTATGGTACATTGCACCCCTGCAAAAGCCTGCCTTTGTTAACTTGTATCTACATTTTCGTTAAATCGCCCTTTAGAATGACTGAGAAGAGGTTGTCAGTGCAACTTCAGTTTCTTTGTCTTTCTGCAGTTCACCAATGCATATGCAACTTTATCGACTCAAATTCTATCCCAAATTTCGACAACTCTCTTATCAATTGACAAGGTTTTTTGTTCAGACCTCTTTAAACGATCAGCTTCTTTTCCCTTTGAGTGAACATATGGAAATTCATAGTTTGTATGTAATCAAGAAATAATAGTTTGTGTATTGTAAGTAAAATCTCCAAATACCATATGCGATGACTAATGAAAGAATTCTACAGATAATAGAAGCCAAAAATGGTCCCGTTATTCTCTAGGAGATGCTGATAGATGTCACTTTATTTGTGAATGTGTGATTATGTAGTTAAGAGCGTTTACATTCAGATCATCCCCTGGAGCGATTAGTGAACTTCAACTCTCGCAAAGTGCTTTTTTGTTTTTTGACAGGTCTATTCAGCTTTGAAGTCAGCCTAATTCAAAGGTGCACGGATATTAAGTCGGAATCTGTCACTTCGGTTACCAAGTTTTCGCTTGTACCCGTTTCCACTCTAGTTACTGTTCTCATTCTTTTTTAGACGAAACGTTTGCATTATCCGAGCACGTTTGCGTGGTAAACTGTGATATAAACTTGCGCACTACTAATATATCTACGGATTCGGAAAAACGGGGGGTCGACTTTTAATTTTTTGACAAATTGAACATACTCTTATACGTGGCAATAACGCCACGCGACGCTTATCTGTATAGAATCAAGTTGCAGGATCCTACAAGCTTCTATAACCTTTATAAACCCTGTGAAGTAAGTCCGTTAAAACCATTAACAAGTGCCTTTTCACTCAAAGTCATCACATGAATTAGACAGATATCGCACTTTTAAAATATATTCTTAACAAAAACACTGCCAATGGACGTTTATTAGTACATCCCGGTAAGGTCTAAGTTTTCCTCGCCGCCACTGTTTTAAGAGTTGTTTTTTGCTACTGGATATTACTTCAACTTCTCATAAGTGTTGCCGGGAAAACGCATTCTTTCGTTAGTATTTATGATGTACGTAGCCGCAGGCCGAACCATTAAACAAGGCAGTAAGGCAATTACCATAACGCATTTTTCAAAGACTGACATTTCGCAAATTTGGGTCCATGTCCATTTTTATAAGTCCAAGTACACATGAAAAGGCCAACGCTTAATAAACCATTCTATCTTCCGCTGGCTGGAGCTGGGACAACTACCATGCTTTCTGCATGTGATTAACCCGGAAAGTGTGCTGACTGGCGCTGCCTCGACTAATTACATAACCAGCAACTTGCTCTAATGGAGAACACCCAGTTTTGGCGTAGAAGTAATTACAGCGCCTTCTTACAGCATAGTTTTGGTCTGGGTTGTAATCTGAGACCTAGTAAGCCATCGACGGATGATAGTCCAGCCAAATGGATGTCTGCCTCAGCGATAGGGTTCGGGACAGAAGGGTGGAATGCGCGTTTATCCACAGTCAAATAGAGATTTTCGGTCGCAGTAAATTAAGGTTTCATCTCGTCGATTCAGACCGGAAACTTTGAATTAATTCAAACCTTCTCGGCGTTGTCCTGGGTTCCTTTACTCTACCCGGCAGTGTCCTTGCAGATCCCCCGACGCAGTTCTGGAGCCAATCCTATGAACTGTTCCAGGTTTCTATTCATGTTTGTGGTGGAATGTGGGCATGTGCAGGCAAATAATTATCTCCAGCGGGTAAGAACGGAAAAACCGCCTTGAAAAGCATCACAGTAAAGGGAATGTGCGCCCGCTGTTGGGTGTCATTCTTAAATCGGCAATTTTTTCTCGGATATTCGTTCATGGGACGGCATTTACTTTCAGGACATCACTCTGACTGCCCATCCATTGATGTGCAGCGGTCTCGATAAACTGCAGATTACGCGGAGAGGACTGCGTTTTTCTGTACTTGACTGATTCCTGCGAATGTCCAACAATCGCCCGGGCCTGTACCTTTCAGCAGTCCCGTTTCGTTTCCGTCTTTTACATGTCGATGCAAGAGGAGGGCAGTTCATTGTTCATTCTTGTCCTTACGAATGCTATTTTGGTCAACCAACCCGGCAATACTACTAAGGAGCTTTATAGATTTCGTTTCAAAGTCAACAAAGACGGCGTTCACATGCAACCAAACCCCTACACCAGCTATAGATAAGGGCTCATTTTATCTATAAAGAGCAAATGTGTAAATGTGCGAATGTCTCACAAAGGGGTTAGTAACTCTCTTGCTCTTCCTCGCCAAGTATGGCGTGTTAAATTTGTTCATTATTGTGTCCGAATAAAATCGTTTGTCGTCAAAAGACAGTTGGGCATACTTTTTGTCATTTCGTGGTTTTCTAACAAAAATATTCAAGTTGAACTTTTCAGAACTGCTCCATTTATATCTGACATATATCCCTTTCTTGAAGACGGTTTCAAGTGTATTAATTCACTGGCGTCTTGGTGGTGACATTTCGACCGTCGTTTCTGACGATGTCGACCGCGTCCTCCACAGCAATGTGAAACAGGCACGATGACTTGTGCGAGTTTTATTTTATAGTGAATTTAGATTTGCACAGCGTCTGCCGCACTCTCTCTTCCCCATCTGGACCCGGTGTCAAGACACAGTCAAGAAGACCAGAAGCGAGGAAGGGCGCAGGTGGATGGCATGGTTCAGCCAGCACCTTGGCGTTCCACTCCACATCTCCTGGTCTACACAGCAAATGACCAGGATTTTAACCAACAACAAAAAAGTGGCTGGCACGGCCGGAGCCGCACCTAGAGGTGCCGTCACAGCTGACTCGGATCCCACGGAATGGGAGTGTCATAAAGGCCACATCAAGAAGGAACCATTGCAGCCCGAATCTTATACCACCAGTCGGCCACTCCACACGACACTGGGCCGGCTGCGAGATCCAAGTCATCCCGTCAGTTGGCAACTTTCCAACTAACGGCTTTTAGCGCAGCGTGATAGCCGTGATAGTGAATGTTGGTGCTGCAGTCACTGGTTCGCCAGTTTCTGTGCGATGTATTCGCAAGTGACCGACCAGGCCGGTGCATGAGGCGAATGTACGGGGACAGTGTGGACAGGAGTAGTCGGCGATGTTCGCGTCAATTTCGGAGTTGGTGGCAGTGGTGGAGTTGCTGATGGGGGCTGTGCTAGGCGGCGGTGTGTGCGTTGGGCTAGGCAGAGTGGATGAGCAGGAGATGCTAGGTGCGTCGAGACTGCGGTCAATTCCGCTGTCGTGGATACGCAAGTGACCGAATGCGCCCCTTCGATGAGTGAATGTGCGGGGACAGTGTGGACAGTGGAGGTGAATGTGGCGAGTGTGGGTTGGTGTTCCAGGCACTGGTTCGCTAGCCTCTGTGCGATGGATTCGCAAGTGACCGATCAGGTCGGTGCATGATGATACCACGTTAGGGGACTCTCTTCTGGAATATGACGATAAATGTATTTAGAATTTAAGCCAATGACTTACCTCATTTTCTAGCCTTTTTACGTAACGGGCTCTGAAAACACCGCCGTCAGCAACTCTGAACTGTCAACCTGACCAACTGCGTCAAGAAGAATTTTGCTATAATAGGTCCTTCCCTAGCGTCCTCTTCAAGCAAACTTATTTCCAAGTTTGGATGAAAGAAATCAGTAAAATCGAACTCTAAGCTCTCGCAGAAATCCACGGTTCATCATTACCTACAGCCCTTTTAGCTGTAAATAATTTCTGTATTTTCCATTCTTTTGTAATGATTATTATGCACAGAAGCAAGCTTTTGTCCTTTTATAAGTAGGCTATTTGGTTACTAAAATCTCGTGTCAAACCCCTTTTGTCTGCGTGGATTTGCTAGTTTATATAGCTTGTCTCGATAAAACCTTGTTGGCAAAGTCTTTGGACTGCCTAAGGTACTCAAACTAGTTTCTGATTTGAGCTTAGTACTATGTCCCTTCAGTACCATCATAAGTTTCGTTTTTAATCTTTATAAAAAGCATTTTTATAGTTGGACGTTTTTGCTATTTGTGGCAGCGAGACAAACTTCATATCACTAAAAAGGCAATTAACAGTTTGTTCGCTTCCCTAGCCGATAGCACCTTTCTTCTACGAGCTCAGGACTATTCCAGTTTTTGAACCCTTCTTCAACAAGAGGGTCTATTGAGGCAATCTTCATCTTTCCGGTTTTTCATAATCTACAACAAGTTCTTTGGAATAGAGCCCGCCCTTTAGTTAATTCAGTAACACTATCCACTGAAATTTCTTCCTTTGTCTGACTAGTGGATAACAGTTAGGAATCATTTTATTTCCTTAAGGGCAAAAAGTTTCAGAGAAATCGGTACCTTAGATGGAGGATAATCTACCTTTAGGTAGAGGGTAAAAGGCCTCTAAGCTCTAAACGTGTTGTAAACCCGAAATGGGTGTTTTTACTGTGATATTGGTTATTACCCGAACAATTGCCTCTGTTATTATTTTCTGTCTACAATCCATTTTTTCTTATTCATGGAAGTGACCTATAACATGTTAAAGGACTAATTCTACTTCTAAATTCTGTTTACCTTTACATATTCGACTTTATAGGCTTTATTGACATAAATGTTAATTGGCAAGGAAATATCACTTCCAGCGATACGCTGCACATCACTCTGAGGCGGTTACACTTCAACCAAAATATTTCTGATGCAAATGTAACGAATGTAATGTGAAACAATTCCCCTTTGCCCATCTCTCCTCTACTTTGTGGAAGATTACATGGTAGGCCCAGGGAAGGCCAGGATTTATCTGCCCTCCAAAACACGGTAGCAAAAATAAATGTGCTTAGGGTTTCTTTCTGTAGCGGACGTCCCTTAGCGCCGTTATAAATCATCTGAATAGATTGCGGTGTGAAAGAGCGTACATGGGGTATGTCTGCGGTTCTAGTCCACTGAAACATCGGCCACTGCTATCACGACAATACTATTGCGTCACTCTCTCAGCGCCCGCAGTTTTTATGCTGCCAATTACGTTCTCTACAGCGCAAGCCACACCAGGCTGTTGATATTCACGTTTTATTACGTCTGCTGACTATCTGCAGAAATAACTTGGCATTCGCCAGAGGAGAATTGACTAAGACCTCTTATGTTAAGCTCCACTTGGATTTCATGCAATTTTGACAGTTTGACATATTCTAAGTTAGCAAAGGAATCAGTTTCGCGCCCAAATAATCCATTATGTTCCGTCAAGAATAGCGCTTGTTACAATCTTTAGCAGCTATGCAAGTTTGACCCTACCTGGCCTCCGGAAGACAGAAATTAAGCCTGGGTTTAAACCCAATTGGTGTTTTTTTGGAATAGAAAGAAAATTCCTAATTAAACAACCTCGGAGGATCTGCATTTGCTCTCTGGCGGTCCACAAAACACCGACATCTACGTCATGTTTCAGCCAATCAAAACTCACAGTTCCGTCATTGTGCTGTGCGAACCATTTAAAAATGGATTACATGTTTTCATTTGTAAATTCCCCGATACGACGTCAACATTCCAGTCGGATAATGAAAGCCCTCGATGCACTCGATTTCCACCCCAACTATGACAAGTGTTTTGACACCTTGATGCCGTCGAGCTATTCCATGGCTAAGAAAAAGGGGACATAATTCGCCTGGCGTTTTCACCTCCTGTTCGATCCCATCATCATCGGAGACAGCAAAAGGCAGGGAAGGCCAGCGGATAAGGACTGTAGTCCTCACAGAATATAGTTGCTACGCCGCTACTTGTCCACTGATGCCAGCAACTCATGCGTTTACGACAAATTTTCATGGAGGGAGCGGTACTGAACAGATCATGCTGACGCAAGTAGTTAGCGGCTGCGATTTAATCACCAGTAAGGTGATACTTGATCTGGCGCAAAAGAGTTGTGATCGTGAACAGTGCTCATGCTCGTACTTCCCCTGGTCATAGTTACTCTATTAAATAAGAATCTCCCAGTTTCATGCAGAGGTGAGAAATCGTTTGATTTACTTATGAGCAGATGATCATAAAACAAGCAGCTCGCAACTTACATGAAGACTTCGGTTTAACCAAGTTTGAAGGTGTGTCATGGCCCTGTCCAGAAAGCAGTGCCTTGAGGTTTGGCGTAATGATTCCTTATTACTGGTACGTGCTTGAAAATCCAGGACCATCTACTACTGCTGCAGATTACAAGTGTTCACATGTGAAAAAAACCTTGCTGCTAGCTATCACTGCAATTTTTTCCTTCAAGAGCCCCTTTTTATATCCGGCTGAAGTTAACTAAGAATAGGCTCCTTGATGCTTGCATCGCTTGTTTTCACTTTTCCTTGGCACTACTTAAGACGACTAGTTCTCTATTAACTCTTTGTTTAGATCTGCCAACCAGTAGCGCCATTTTCCCGGTCTCTTACGCGCAAGTCCGGCAATTCAAAGCTTCCGACACCAGGAACTTCTGACCACCACTACACGGAAACATTATTTGTTTACCCCATGCCTGGTTAAATTTTCGGTAAGTCACATCTGTCTTCACCCTCCTCCTGGATAGTGCCGTAATTGTCTACTAGGTTAGGATAACCTAATTGACTTAGGGTTGGATATTAAATTTATGGCTAGTTTTAAGATAACGTTTAGCTCTGAGACTGGCGTTATGTATTATGTTTAGGGTTTTAACAAAGTTTATTGGTAGGTCCAAGTTTATGCAATGCTGCCGCTGGATGCTTTGGAAGTTCCGTTTTTGTAGTCGGTTTTGGTCCTTAAAATCGATTCGTGAGTATAATTCCAAGGGTATTCGACTAATATAGCCTTGCTTTTCGACCATGGAATCCTTGCCAGGAAGAAACCTGCTGTTTTGGCTTTCTCGTCGTTTTTGTGTGATCTAAGGCAGCAGAATTTATGTAACTTTGTTATGGAAACTGACAAAAATGTTAAGTTATTCAAATTACTCACGAACTCACCGAGGGAATTACCTGACCGCCGGAGTCGTAGAGACCTTATATCACCATGATAACCAATTGAATTTTTCCTTGACTGCACTAAAGTGTCAGTTAGGCAGGCAATGCTGTCTTAATTTGCTACTGAAAAGGTCATTAAGGTTGCATTTTGTCCTTCGGCGTTTCACTTTTTTCGTATTTTACCGTAAATCATGTCCGTCGAATTCCCATCTCCATAAATTTGGCTAAAAACCATCTTCTACTTAGACGTTTAACCCGCCCTCATTATCATTTGTCGGCTGCAATTCTCAATCTAATCAGCTCAGTCTTCTGTTTTTCGAAAGTCCCAGGAATAGTACGCAAGTTATTGGGCATTAAAAATAGTAAGCAAAAATGTAACTATCATTTCCAGCATTTTTAACTGTCGGTCAGCTGAACTCTGTGAATAACTCACATCTGAATCTGGGCCCACCTTTTCGTTCGAGTTTGACATTCGAACAGTTGAGCTACTAATCCGCCAAATTAAAGTGACATCCACCAGTCCGACCTGATTGTAGGTCAGAATGCGAGCCTTCCGTCTTGCCTCAAGGGTTCCAGTCCAGATTCCCTCAGGATCCTAATGTTAAAATGGTAATCAGGGAGTAAAAATTCAGTCTACTGCGACTCAAAGTGAAATTTCTGTCACGCTGATACCTTTCGTAAACTGCCACCCTCCAGCGAAATTTCCAACCCCTATTTAGTCGGGAATAAAAGGTAGAACGAAATTTTCGGTCGGAAATGCAAAGTGAGTTTCCCTCTTTATGAATCAACCATGTTTACATCCTATAAAATTATGTAAAAGGGTTAAAGTAGGCGGTTTGGATGTAAAAAGAGTAGTGAGGATGTATGTGATTTTTCTCGTCTCCCAGAAGTCTTTATGTCTTTGAAGCGTGCTTGTTATCTGAAACAATATCATTTATACTAAGTGTCTAAACACCACAGTGGTGTGTGCCGCATACATAGTTCAAAGTATTTGAAGCTACAATTAAAATCATTCTCGTCGGCGGAATCTGTGAGAAATTCTATGCTGTGTGAGGGGAATCACCACAGTTACTGACCACAGTGAAATGGGAGAAAGCCCCTACGGGTCGTAAATATGATGTATCATTGACTTAGGAGGTCAGGTCAGAGACAACAAGTGGAATCGATCTGTCTATTAACATAGTGTATTTCCTAGGTGGATTAGATTCGTGGTCTCCTTGCTCTTTTTCCCACGAGGTCGCGATGGGTATGGGGAAACTAGTGAGGTAGATGATGGGCAACTACGTCTCAGTATAATTTCAGGTCAAAAATAAAAACACAACCTCCACCGTAGTCGATGAGGTATCGCAGACGCAGCCTGACATGCCTGACTTCCTTGAAGGGGACTCAGTCGTAGGTGGAGAGGACAGGTTAATAAGAGGCAGAAAACGAAATATGACTGGCTCCGCGCAAGCTTTTACGAAGTTCGGGTTCACACGTGTTACCGCTCAGGCTCAGAAGAGGGGGAGCGCGCTGGCGGCAGATGGGCGCATTAAAATCTCTGTCACCCCTCAGATCATCAGA